TTAGTGGGAAGACTTTCCAACCCCCCTTTTAAAACTAGTAGTTCTTTCTTTCTTAGTCTCATGGTAGTTTTATTTTGGTTGAAGTATGCCTTTCTTAGTAAATCAATTGTTTTAAGTGAATTTTAATAGAGAGATCCAAATCAAGATATAGAATGAATATAACTCTCTGGATGGCCCCCATGTGATTCTCTTCAGTCAATACCCTCCCAAAGGTAGCTATTGTTACAATTCTTATTAATATAATTTGTTTAAAAATATTTTTTCCAGGGCTGGAGAGATGGCTCAGTGGTTAAGAATGCCGACTGTTCTTGCAGAAGTCCCGGGTTCAAATCCAAGCACCCATATGGCAGCTAACAATGTTCTGTAACTCCAGTTCCAGGGGATCCAACAGCGTCTTCTGCCCTCTGTGGGCATTGCCTGACACGGGTGCACTTACCTGCATGCAGGCATAACACTCACACACATAAAATAAAAATAATAATTTTTTTTTGTCTTTTTGAGACAGGGTCTCCCTGTAGCCCCAGCTGTCCTGGAACTCACTATGTAGACCAGGCTGGCCTCGAACTCACAGAGATCCACCTGCTTCTGCCTCCCGAGCGCTGGGATTGAAGGCGTGTACCCCCACTCCCATCTAAAAGTAATATTTTTTAAAAATATATTTTTTTCCTGGAGTGGTGGCACACGCCTTCAATCCCAGCACTCGGGAGGCAGAAGCAGGCAGATCTCTGTGGGATGGAGGCCAGCCTGGCTGGGGCTACAGGAGACCCTGTCTAAAAAATAACAAACAAAATATGTATTTAAAATTTATGATTTGTGTGTGTATGTGTGTGTGTTTCTGAGGGTACATATATACCATAAGTGTGTGGGTGGGGGGGGTCAGAAGACAGCCTCAGGTGTCATTCCTTGCCTTCCACCTGGTTTTCTAGGCAAGGTCTCTCTTGTTTGCCCCTGAGCTATGTGCTATAGGCTGGCTGACCCTCAGGTTTCTGTGGGATTCTTTTGTTTGATCTTGCAGTAAGTGGTCTGGGATTCCAGTTACGTGTCATTGCATCTGGCTTTTACATGGATTCTGGGATCCAAATTTAGGTCATCAGACTTCTTTAACAAGTGCTTTTACCTGCTGTACCATTTTCCTAGTCTTACTATAGTTCTTAACTTCCTAAATGGAGTTATTTTTAAGTATTCTGTCCTGTCAAATTTTTTTTGCTCAAAAGTATATTTTTGAGATGTTTTTATGTTTACGCATCAATAGTGTTTTCTGCTTTTTTGTCCTTATGCATTCTATAGTTGAGGGACATGTGAATTGTGTCTAGTTTATGGCTACCAGCCACTCTGCTAGGGACACTATTGTATGTGTTTTTGTATGGTTGGGAACACTCACTCCTATCTGCTGGGTTTGTGTTTCAGAGTGGAAAAGCTCCCAACAGGCACGTGTAAAGGCCCAGTAGCTGTTACTTGGGTGTCCTGAGATGGCAATGTCTGAAAACACCCTTCCTCTCTAGTCTTCCTGTCTCTTCAAATCTCCCCACACCTCATCTTAGCCATTGTGATAGGTGCCATGTATGTTAATCTCTGATGTTTGTTCTTGTCTGATAAGGAGTGATACTGGGTCATCCCAGAGACCAGATATGTGTACATATGTGAATCATCTAAATGTGTCAAGCACCTCTTAAAGTAGGTTATCTATTAAAAAGACTTGTCTGTCCTGATTTTTATTTTATGTATATGAGCATATTGCCTGCATGTATGCCTACATTGTGCAATGCCAGAAGAGAGCGTCAAATTCCCTTGGAATTGGAGTTAAGGATGGTTATTAGCTGCCATGTGGGTGCTGGGAATCAATCCCAGGTCATCTGCAAGAGCAGCCAGTGCTTTTAACCACTGAGCCACCTCTCCAGCCTGACTGTCCTTTTAAATAGTTTTTAGATCTTGGATATGAGTTTATTTACTACACGTGCATCAACTATCTTTTACTTATTGGATGTTTCCATTTTTAGTGTCCTCATGGATGATCAGCTACTCTATGACCAGCTACTCAATAACCAACTACTCTTAACTTAAATGGAACAAATCAGACTTTTAGAATATATTAATATTTTTCTTTGCTATGGTTAATGATTCTGTTTCAGAGAAGTTTTTAGTCTAGTGTTTTCATAATGTTAAAGGAGGTTCTTAGCACATTTGAAATGGCTTTTGGAATCAATGTATTTGAAACTTGACAGTAAACTAGAGCCCTTCCAGAGCCCAACCCACCCCAACAGGCCTTGCTTAGATCCCTCCTCCTTCAAGAGATGACTGTCAGCCAGCTTCTTTCCTGGCTCATTTCCAAAAGAATCTCACTGGATTAATGCTATACATTAATAACTTCTTAGAAAGATCCTAAGCTGGGTTGCACCCCTCCACAATGACCCCTCAGGGATATGCATGCAACTCAGGCCGACAACACAGCAGTGACACGACTCAGACATTCATTCACCAGATATATTTGAAGTCTAAGCTCTTTGAGCGGTACACGTGCACAAATGATTCAATTGGTGGAAATCATCCCCTTCCCCTCCATTTTAAAACTTTTCAAACTTAAAATAGTGCTAAAGAGGTTTGCATAATGTGCGTCATGGAAGTGCTCAGGTGATTGTGACCTTCACAGTGCAGGGAGGTCCTACTGAAACGCTGTGGAAAACCCTCCCCAAACATTGTGAGAAACCCTCCCCATTTCTTTTGGGAAAAGGGTCCTCTGCCCATTTCCAAGCCCAACCTCGTGAGAGAATCACTTGATCTGCAACAGGTTAACACTGACACATGGCAATACAGTTTACTAAGTCCAACCACCTGGGTCATCCACAACAATTTTTAATGGCTTTACAGCATAGTCATGTTGAATTTTACTAAGCTGAAAAAGATTGCTCTATTTGGAAACACTTAAAAATCATTTCCAAATGCTTTTTCTCATCTAGAATTTGTTTTAGAACCTGCGTTCTGAAAATTCAACGTGGATTAAAAAGTCAGCCCTAAAGGGTTGACTGCTGTGGTCTCTCCATCTAGATGGCTGAGCTCTGTGTTTCGTCCACTAGAGGGCAGCGTCTCGCCACTGTTGTCTGTTGTCTTTTTATTGGTCAGAAACCTCCACAGCACAGGAAAGTCAAAGCATTTGCTTATTGTACATTCCTTAGATCTCATTTGGAAAAGGAGTCTTCATTTCCCTATGGAAACTCTGGATTCCACAAGCAATGCTCTCCTCAGTTTCGGCTGTACCGTGTCCAGTACGATATTGCTATATTCACAGTAGAACGGACTTGAATTTCTGAGTGATCAGTCTAGGCTTGAAGTGTCTCATTAAACTAACATACACCTTAGTCACAAACCACAGTCATCCTTCCATCAGTTGCCTGCATTAATGGTCTTGTGTGTTTTTCTGAGGCTTAGGTCATGAAAGAACGTCCCCACTCCGCTGTCAATTGTTGTCTGCATCTAAAGTAACTCATTAATGTACAGGAGTAGATGAGGCCTGACACATGTAGCAGAAGGTAATGGTTCTATAGGTGTATATTCTGTAATGCACTTTGGGCTAGAGAAATACAAAAGTCACATGTAACGAAAACAAATAACTCTTTTGAGCACATGGGCACTGATGACTCAGACCGCCATACACTTATCCATCATCCTTCAGGACTTTAAGATGCTCAGCTGCTCCTACATTCTAGGGAGTTAGCATCATCCAAGTTGTCTACAACTGACACTTGCGTCTTTATTTAAAAATAGGTGGTCTTGATAGCAAAGAGTTTGGCTAATCAGTTATATATTGGCATGAGGCATTTCTGTGCCCTTTCAAAATTCAGTATTATCTGCCATAGCATGTAATATTATAGATCATCTATATTTTTATACGAATGCATTCATAAGCAACACGCATTATATTGTTAAGCAGCTAATGGTTGAACAATCACTAAATTAAAAAAATCCAGATCTTTAAAAGCACAGCTGAAACATTTGTACAAATATACAAAGAGAGGGGAAAAAAAAGAAACAATCGTTCAGACACTATGAGACTTTTATAATAAATAGGTTTGTCTGAAATAGGTCTCTGTCACCCTGGACAAGCTCCCCAATGACAGGGAAGTTCAATATAGTGGTATTCAGAATCTACTGAGGAATTATCTTTGGGGCCAACTCAATTTTGCCTCTGGGAATTTTAACAGAGCTATGAAGTACTGACTCAAAATGATGACTCTACCCAGACTTGTTGAGCTGACTGGTACTGAGAATATTCCTAATCTATAGAGGACATGGCCAGGATGCCACAAGTTGGAGCATTTCCTCAAATCCTGAAAATAAATGCTGGTGATCATGCATGTCCTGGGAATGTTGGGATGCAGAGGGCTGAGTGAGACCAAGGTGGGGATATCTCATGCAGTCAAAGTCAAGTTTACTTATGGTCCTATTGAAGTGGCCAGGAAAAAAAAACAAACAAAGCAACACACACACACACACACACACACACACACACACACACACACACACACAGGACTGGGTACACACAGACGAGCTGGACACACACAGACTGGCTGGACACACACAGATGGGCTGGATGGACACACACAGACACACAGACACACACACGCACACACACAGAGGGCTGGATGTACACAGCACTTTGTGCTCTGTTTCCAGGGTTATGATGTTGAATCCAGAGTTTGACTGGATGAAGATGCAAGCTCAGGTGTGGCTACACACACACCCAGGACTGGGACAGAAACAGCTACCAAACAACACAAGTGCTATTTGTTACTGATATCTCTGGCTTGGATCAATATGAATCAAGAGATAGGCTGTGCTGATTGTTTAATAAGAAAATAATATTACCTTTTTTTCTAGAACTTTCTAAATCATGGAGTATAGTTATGGGTATGATGTGATTGGGAGACATATCACCTTTTCCTAGCCCTTTTGTCCTAAAGGCTTTATTACAAGGAAGGAATCTCAAACAACCAAACACCCAGGGGTTTAAAGGCAATTATTTTTTTTGACAAACGACAGGGTAAAAGCATGATAAAGAGACGGATATTATTGTCGAGGTGGAGCAGTATGTTCAGTTGGACACGGAAGGGGGCAGGCCAGGACGCCGAGTCTGGATGATTTTTGGCTTTGGGGAAGTCTTTGGATCCTCTTCTTCCTCTATGTCACTGTCACACACATGTACGACGACACTCGGGGTGGACTCGGTCCCTGCATGCAGCTCATATTTCTCTCCTGTAAAGCAAGAGACATTGGGATGAGAAAAAGAGGAGTTTTGAAAAGATTCTTTAGCAAGGTTGGCTGAGGAAGTAGGAAGAATATTTTATGGTGTCATGGAAAACCTGTGATCTTACATAGGAAGGAAATGAGGCCCATCTGTGATCATGTCCTGACTCAACTTTACCAACTCTACAACCCTGAATAAGCCACTTAACCCTTCTTAGCCACAGCAAGCTCAACTATAAATTTCAAAATGGTACGTCCATAGGATTGTGAGGACCCAATGGGTCTGCCAGTACAATACTTTGGATCTCTAATGTTCCCCAAAAGCTCAGCTTGTTGTAAGTGGTGGAACCACTGAAAGCTGGAGCCTCATGGAAGGAAGTGAGCTCATTGAGGAGAAGACCCTGAAGGAGATAATGGGCCCCCTGCCTTCTCCTGCCTCCCTCTTTTTGCTTCCTGACCTCTATGAGGTGAATGGGCCTTCTCCATCATGAGCTCCCTCCAGTATTAACTGTGCTCCACAGGGTCAAGTGACCATGGACTGAAAGCTCTGAAGCCATAAGCCAAAATGTCCTTTTTTTTTTTTTGATGAGTTCAGGTATTTTGTCATAGTGATGGAAAGCTGACTAGCACAGTCAGTCAGTCATATCAGTTTCTCTTTGATTTCTAGTCTTGCCACTAAGGGCTGGGGAATCTTGAGTCACTTGTTCAATTTTTGGATAAGGTCTCTAAGCTCTCTTCCAGCTGTACAATTCTTTTTATTATCTTTATTTTATGTGTTATGAGTGTCTTGCCTGCATATATATAAGGGTACCATATCATGCAGAGGTTGCCAGAAAAGGGCATTGGATCCCCTAGAACTGGAGTTAAGGACGGTTGTTATGTAACATGTGGGTACTGGGAATTGAACCAAAGTCCTCTGGAAAAGCAGCCAGTGCTCTTAACCACTGAACCATCTTTCCAGCACCCTAGCAGTACAATTTGTATAACCACAGGTACCCTGAGATGGAATAACATGGGATAATTGCTTGTCTAGAATTTGCAGTGGTTACTATGTGACTTGGTTGGTTGACCAACAAGGCCCAAATTCCAAGAATCTTTCATTCTTTGTGTGTATATATACACAAGTGCAGGGGAGTACATGTGCTTTTGGGCATACACATATGCACATGTGGAGTGTTCTTCCTCAGGGATACCTTCTGTCCTTTTGTGAGTGATTTTTGTGGACAGGGACTGGCCTAGATCTCACCAAGTAGGCTAAGTGAGCTGGCCATCAAGTCTTAAGGAGTCACTGTCTCTGTCTCCCCAGCACTTTTTTTTTAATGTCCAGTCTTTCTAGGGATTGAACTCAGTTCCTTATCCTTGTAAGGCAAATACTTTAGCAACTGAGCCATCTTTTCAGCCCCCATTTTACAATCAAATCACTACCAGACACTACTATGTCTTCATTTCACCTTAGCTGGTATTTATTGAGCACCTTTCCTGGTCTCTATCCCCCACTTCTGGCTACACAGAGCTATAAAATAATATTTGTGCTTAAGAGCATGGTCCAGTACAGGCAGCAAGACCTCCAGGTGGAGGAGTGAGGGGATGTGGGTTTACTGCTTAAAGGTTCTCAGTAACTGCTGACACCTTGATCTTTTCCTGAAAGCTGACCTTTCACTTCATAGTTCATGAACCAACCACAACAAAATCTGTAGAAAACAGTGTCTTCAGATTGGTTTCTGGTCCCTGGCTCTCCAAGTCCAGATGTCTTGAACAAGTCCAGAAGATTCTGCATAATTTCTCAATAGTCTTGTCCCATGACTTCAACCCTTCCCTTTATGCTTAAAGCAGCTTACCTGCTGCCCCCTAAGTCATGGTGATTAGATTCTGATACCCACCCAATTAGCTGTTGTTACATAGCATAGTCTCACCTTATCCTGAGAGTTCCTTAAATCCTGCCCTCCTCCCATAATCATGACCTAGATGCCGCCCAGTCCAGGAAGCTTGCCAGCTACCTTCAGCCTGTAGTGGAGAGAAGTTCTGGCTGATGACAAGAGCAGGTATTGTCACTTCTTGTGACAGGGTATCATTTAGGCTACTGTGCACATCTTGGTGAATGGCAGTGGTGGCACAGAAACCTCAGGAGGTGTGGTTTCAGCTTCTGTGCGCTAACATTGGAAATAAGCACTGATAATACACTAAGTATCAATGCTTTTCTAAGTGATACTGGGAAACTTGTAATACAATGCTAAGTATCAATGCTTTTCTAAGAGATTTTGGACATGAACTACCATGTCTGGCTTCCCATGAATTCTGTGGATCTGAACTGAAGTCCACATGCTTGTGTGACCACTTTACATACTGAACCATCTACTCAGTCCAAGAGTCAAAGATGTCTTTGTTGGATACCCTCCACCATCAGCATCCCGCTGAATCCAGTAGAAACTTTGCTGAGTGAAGAGAGTGAATATCTCATGGAGTGTTGCAGCTCCCTAATAGTGTTGCAGAAAAAGCAGTAAAACCAGACAGAGCTATCAAAATATGGTAGATGAAGTCTTTGTATGTCAAGATGTGGTAAGGTTGTGGGTAGTGAGAATTACATCAAGTATTAAAAATTCCTGACCTAAGTGAGCTGATGTGGACCAGTCAGTGAGGCAAGGACAGTGTCAGAGGTTGGACACCTGGGCAGAACCTGGGGCTTCTCATTCATGCTACTTGGTGAGCATGGATGCTAACATCGACTGAGCCAGGTGGCAATCTCCTCTTGAACTCACTGTATCGCATAGTGATGTAGCTGTGGCTCACTTGATGTCATGCAGACAGCACTGAATAGTGTGAGTTGTCTCGATGTAAAAGAACCCAGTTATCAAAGTCCCAAGGTAGGAGAATTGATTCAGGTATTGCTAAGAAAAGCCATCCTCATGAAACCAGCCTTATGTAAGGGTTGTTCTAGTTTGCTTTCTGTTGATAAAACACTGACCAAAAGAGGAAGGGGAGGAAGGAGTTTGTTTAGCTTACACTTCCAGGTGACAGTCCAATATTCAGGGAAGTTAGAACAGGAACTCAGGGCAGGAATGTGGAGGCAGGAACTGAAGCAGAGAACCACGGAGGAATGTTCCTCGCTGACTAGTTTTCCCTGGCTTGCTCAGCTACTTTTCTTTTTTAAAATGTATTATTTTAATTTTTTATGCGATTGTATTGCCTGCCTGTAGGTAGGTGTACCCATGTCATGCAGTGCCTGCGGAGGCCAGAAGAGGATGTTGGATCCCCTGCAACTGCAGTTCCGGATGGTTGTTAGCTGCCATATGGGTGCTTGGAATCGAACTGCAAGAGCAGTCAGTGCTCTTAACCCCTGAGCCACCTCTTTGGCCCCCTCAGCTACTTGTCTTATACAACCCAGGCCTACCTGCTCAGGGAAGGCACCGCCCATAGTGGCCTGGGCTATCCCACATAAATTAGCAATGAAGAAAATACCCCCACAGACATGTCCACAGGCCTGTCTGATGGAGGAAACGCCTCAACCGGGGTTCCCTCATCCTGGGTGACTTTAGTTTGTGTTAAAATGATAAAATTTAGCCAGTACGGGAGTGTGCAGGAGAGGTTCCAGAGCATGCTGGGCAAACTGCTGGTTTTCAAATACCTGGAAGCTTACTATAAGCCGAGATTTCCAGCAGGGGGCAGCAACCCTGCGGACTCTAGTGGAGTCGACTTTTGTACCCCACATCAGGTGCCTCTTGATGTTTCTGTGTGGCCCCAGTGCCATAGCATTGTGAGATGGGGGGAGGGCTGTGGCCCCATCAGGCCAGTGGAAAACACACAATGTGTGTCTTCCTTCCTGCTTTCCCGCAACACTGCAGGAGAGACAGTGGAGGAGGCAGGTAAGGAGGAAGCAGAAAGAACAAGATGCAAGGGGTCCTAATCAGCTGTCTGGAACCATCAGCTGCCAGCCTTCACTTGTCTCCATGCTTCGGCGTGTTCATGTGTGTTCGTGGAATACAGCAAGTCACTTCAATTCCAGAGCTTTCTAAACTTTTGCCTTTCCTTCGGGGACCCCTTGCACTTCTGAAAGGAAGATAGCCTCAAAAAAGAAGAAGTGGTATCTGAGCCCATGGAGCAAGGCAGCGACCGATGTCAATGTGACACACCTGGGAAGAGGAAACCCCAACTGAGGCATTTCCTTTATTTGACAGGTTGTGGCCATGTCTGTGAGGCATCTTCTTAATTGCTGATTTATACAGGAGGGCCCAGTCCACTGTAGGTGGTGCCATCCCTGGGCAGGTGATCCTGGTCCTGGGTTGTGTAAGAAAGCAGGCTGAGCACAGGCCAGGGGAGCAAACCAGTGAGTAGCATTCTAGGCTTCAGTTGCTGCCTCCAGGATCCTGCCCTGGCTTTTCTCTGCCATGAACTGTAAGCTGTAAGGTGAAATAAACCCTTTCCTCCCCAAGTTGCTTTTGGTCAGTATTTTACCCCAGAAATAGAGAAGTAAACTAGAACATGGAGATTGTTTTATTTTTACTTTTTATTTTTAATGTGTTTCAGTGTTTTTTTCTGCATGTATGTAAGAGCGCCCATGTCATACAATGCTGCTGGAGGTCAGATGCAAGGGTATTGGATCCTCTGGAACTGGAGTTATGAATGGTTCTTAGCCATCGGGTGGGTACTGGGAATGGAACCTAGTCTTCTGCAAGAGCAATCATTGCTCTTAACTGCTGAGGCATCTCTCTAGCCCTGGAAGTTATTTCTTTTAAGTTTTCACATTTGGAAAAGCCCATTTTTAGGGAAGCAGCAGGAGCCACTGTGGGCCTTTCTCTGTTCTACTGATTGTGAGTACAGAGATGGAGCAGGTATGTGGGGTGGGGTGGGGGGAGCGAGCAAACGAATGACAGAGAGTGAGCATTTATGCTCAGATGGGGAGACCACAGAAGGAATCTGCCATAGCAAACTGAGTGTGACAGTGTGAAACCCAAAGCTGATGTGTGGCGACAGCAAGGACACAGGCCAGCCTCGATCAGCTTGTCCCTTTCCTT